TAGATGCTTTAACAACCTAAAGGATTAGGGAGAACAAGTAACCAAGGAATCAAGCGGGAATGCACGTAGGTATCCTAGTCTACGAACCAATCTCGTGATTAATAAACAAGGATTAGAACAAGGAATTGCCCCACTTTCGTGGTGAATCAATTCCAAGTTCATCAAGCACACAAAGCATCTAAAACCCCCAATTTCCCCTATTTTCGTAGGAAGAAATCGGGTCTATGTAAGGGGTGGCTTGGATTCATCACCCAACTCTCGTTGAGGCAAAGAATCCTCCAAAAACAAGCTAATGAATGTGTACATCAAACATTAACAAGATATAAACACAACACCTTCATAAACACATGAACCCTAAGTAGTGTTCTTCCCCTTTTTTACAATAATCACAAATCAAGCATCAAGATAGATAATACAACCCTAACTCAAGTCCATAAACTACCTACTCATGATTAAATAGCATAAAGAATACAAGAACACAAGTAATAAACATAAATCTTGCAAAGTAAAGAGATAAAAGGAAGAAGAACTTATGTATTGAAAATGGAAGAACAATCTTGAAATGTTGAAATCCAATCTCCAAATCCAAGATTACAAGCTTCAAAAGTGTTAAGAAACATAAATCTAAGTCTAATCTAACCTAAAAATATGAAAGGAAGTGAAAGGAAATGTCTAGGGTTGGAACAAGGTCCAAAACCAAGTAGAAATGAGAGAAAACGGGGTTTAAAAAAGGCAGAGCAGGTTGGGATGGCCTCAGGGATGGGCGTACGCCAGGGGGTACGATTTTTGGTGCATTTCCAGTGAAAACTGGATCAGGGAGAAGAGATGCGTACTGGCATGCGTATGGGCGTACGGCAGGGCGTACGATGCTTCTGGAAACAGAATTCTGTGCACTTGTTTTGACTTCTAGGCTATTTTCCTCCACTAAACCTATTTTATTTTCACTTATGGTCTTCAACAAAGTTGTAGACCTTTAAGTTGGCTTTCCAATGGTGCAAGAATCACTTCATTTGGACATTTCTAGACTGAGATATGGTCCTAAAACAGAACAGTGGCCAAATCATGCGAGAATTTCAGCTTGTTCCACTTTTGCCTTGGTTTAATTTGTCCATATGATCAACACCATTGAAAACATCAATCTTTGGCTCATTTGGAAGTGTTGCATCCATCTCCTTAGCTTCATCTTGGCTCCCCTTGACTCCAAATGCATCCAATATGATCTAAAATCCTTCATTTCTACTCAAAGATAATGAATTGTGCATAATGGATCAAATAAGCAAAATAAAGATCATTTTGAACAACATTGTGACACTTCATAAGCAAAACAAGGCTAAATATGGGGTAGACATGGGGTTTAAATATGAACAATTATGCACTTATCAGGGCCCCACGCCAGATCGTATATTGGTTATGCTATTGATGGCTGCAAAGCTTGCATGTCTATATTTAATTTCTACTCTGTTAATTTTATTCTTAAATCACATTATTTATTAGCTCATACTTTAGCATCTACAACTTTAGAACATTCTACGACTATGTATTGGCCTGCGACTTTGTCCCTCATGACTTTATTTCAGTTTATCTCTAAATATAATCACATTGGTTGCTTTCAAAAAAAAGTATTAAATAGTTTATAATTATCAAGTCTTAAATAATTTTTTTAAAAATATTTTAAATTTAAAAAAAAAAAAAAAACACATGCCTAGGTGCTTATTTAATCGGCGCCTTCAGACAGTAGAGGAATGTCTAGAGATTTTTACAACCTTGTATGAGTTAGCTATGGTGTATAAGTATGAATAATTATCCACTTTATCAATCCGTCACCGCTGCCGTCACTGCCACTTGCATCTTGGCGTGCTTGTAAGCTCACATATAGATGTGATTTGTGAGTAATAAAGTAAGAAACAAAGGGCTCCATGGGGGAGAGAAAGAGAAAGCAATGAATCTGATGAGATAATAGACAAGACTGAGAAAAGCAAATGGTCTTTTGGAAGATGATTATAATAAAGAAAGATAAGATTGAATACAAAATGTGTGGGGAAAAGGGTCTTGGGAAAATAATAAAGAAAGATAAGACTTGAGAGTGAATAAAAAAAATGAGTAGGGCTAAGACTTTGTGGTCTAATGATATTTGTGTTGGATTTTTATATGAAAAGGTGTGAGTTCGAGCTTTAATAGAGGTGTTATTGGCTCTTTATGTTTCAGTAGGTTGAGAAAGTAGTTATGAACCAACAAATAAGTGAGGAAAAACAATTGGTTTTGGAAGATTAATAAAAAAAATGAGAGAATAAAAATATTAATATAGGGAGTAGTAATTTTTTTTTTTTAAATACGCATAACATATAAACTATTTATAATATTATAATTCTAATTTCAAGCTAATGCTAGTAGTTATTTTGATTTGAACCTCCAGCTCACGGTTTAAGATTATTTTTTTTTTCGGTTCACGATTTTAATAAACGGAAACTTAAATATTGGGTTCTGGTTTTGAATCATAATCAAAAAATTTCGATTTGATTGCTATAGTGCCCGGTTCAGTTTGAACCGGACCGTGGTCATCCCTATGTATAAGTAATAATTTGTTGAAGAAGAAAAATAAATAAAATATTTATTTTAAGGATAGAAATGTCCATTTAATATATTAGGAGAAAAATTGCCATTTTTATAATAATTGAGAGGTCAAATGTGAATGCATGAATAACTCTGGAGAAAATGTGCTATAAGCATATAATTCAGGGAAAAGTGCTATTTTCTCAAAATTGGGAAAAATGTCAAATTGGCCCCCTAAGTCGACCGAATAGTGCAATTGGGTCCCCTAACTAAAAAAAGCTTCATTCAGATCCCCTAAACCTGTAAAATTGTTCAATTAAGTCCAAGGTGACTTGTTTAACAAGTTAAATCTTCACATGGTTGACACGTGTCACTTTAAAATGTTTTTTTTTTAAATTTTTTTTAAAATAATTTATTTATTTATTAAAATATATATTATATATATATATAAATAAAATATAAAAAAAAACAAACAAACAAAAAAACAAAGTTTTTTTTTTTAAAAAAAAAACAAATCTTTTTTTAAAAAATACAAAGCTGTTTAGGTGGCTGTGTCTTTTTTATTTTATTTTATTTTATTTTATTTTATTTATATATAATATATGTTTTAATAAATAAATAAATCATTTAAAAACAAAAAAAAAAAAACAAAAAAAAAATATTTTAAAATGACACGTGTTAACAATGTGAAGATTTAACCGGTTAAACAAGTCACCTTGGACTTAATTGAACAATTTTACAAGTTTAGAGGATTTGAATAGAGTTTTTTTTTAGTTAAGGGACCCAATTGTACTATCTGATCGGAGGACAATTTAATACTTTTCCCCTCAAAATTTAATGATCCACGTACTGGTGATCAAGACTCGCGCATGGTGGGGGAGTAGAAGAGAATAAAGATTGATAAAAAAAAAATATTAAATTTAATGATCCATCCACTCGTGAAACTCATGTATCGTGGAGAATAGAAGAGAATAAAGTATAGGCATTGTATTATTTAAGATAAAGCTTAGAATTTTAGAAGGGTCACATTTGTGTGTAATCGTCTCATGAGTTTTAATAATCTATGAAATAGATCGGGTCAACATAATTTGAATCGTAAATTTGGGTGTGAGATGTGCATTTTTATTCATATAATAAAAAATAAGTTAATACCTAAAATTGTCCTCGACTATAGTGGTTTTTTTCAATTTCGTCCTAAATGACTTTGGTGACTTAATATTGTCCCAGACTTCTGTGTTTTTACTCAATTTAGTCCCAAACTTTTGTGTTTTTGCTCAATTTAGTCTCACATTTGTTATCTCGTCCATTTGTTGTTAAATAAATAGACAATTCAGTCATTTTAATATTGACATCTCTTTACTCATAGACATGTGAAGTGCGAAATCCATTTTTTTTACGAATTACTCCCAAAATCACTCTTAAACCTACGAATATAAAATTTGAATCGTAGGTCTGGGAGTAATTCTGGGTGTAATTCGTGCAAAAAAGAAAGATTTCTCACTTCGCATGTTGAAAGTAAAGAGAGGTCAATATTGATATTATTGAATTGTCCCTTTATTTAACACTAATTTGACGGAATAACAAATGGAGGACTAAATTGAGCGAAACACAAAAGTCTGGGACAATATTAGGTCACCAAAATCATTTAGGACGAAATTGAGAAAAATCACTATAGTCGATGACAATTTTGGATATTAACTCAATAAAAAATCTAACACATCTCACGAATAACTCACACAAGTTTTTGCCATTTTAGAATAATATTTTGTGTTTGAATTAAGGAATACTTTGAGCGACAGTGAGCTTTGAGTAATGATTAGCTTGCTGTCTATATTCTCTTTTATATGCTTATAAATGGAAATTATTATCCACAATGACTAACAACAAAAACACGTACAGAAGGATAAGCTAATTAAGGGCAACCCACAAAAGCCAGATTAGCCAGCAGGTGAGTTTACTCAACACATTTAATTATTAGCAGCAATATATATAGTATAGTTCTATAATCTATATACTAAAGTAAAGATCATATACATGCATGCACTATATGTACTTTTGATGCCTGCTAATTAGTCTTGGTTGAGTAAGGATTAGGGTTATTAGCGAACAAAGTTTTTGGTAAACTGTATTATTCGTGTCTGTGTTCGGTAAGCGTTCATTTATTAAGGTAAACGAACATAAATGAACAAATTTTTGAGGCCGATTCATAAACGAACAGAGTTTGAACAGTTTTAAGTTCGTTTGTGTTCGTTTAATAATGTTCATTAACAAGCTCATTTAGTGTTGGTTTAATAATGATCAGAAACACACACATATATATGTATAATTGTATTAATTAGTTTTGTAATTGTGTTGTTTGTTTGGTTATTGTTAATGAAGTTAGATTATTTATTGTTCACCAATAATGAATTGTAGTAGTGATGAACACGTACAAGTGTTTGGTTATTAAGTGTTCACGAACATATGTTGGTGAACTTGCTTGTTAACAAACGAACACGAACAGGATTTTTAAAAACTTGGCCTTGCTTAACAAACGAACACTAACACTCTAAAACTTTTAAGAAACCAACATGAACAATCTGAGTTTGTTAGTTGTTTACTTATAAAATTGATTGAATTGTGAGATGAGATGAGATCAGATCAGATCGAGCATGAAGAAGTATGCCTGTATACTGTACATATTGGAAAAATGGAACATGCAATGCTACGTTATGGCTAGCCTCCTCTTCCAAATGACACTGGTTTTCCTTACGCCGATGAGAAGATGGTCAAACAACGCATTCCTGTATCTGGTGATCTGGGGTGTGTATTTACTGGCAAGCTTCTTTTCCACCTTCGCCTTATCTCTCATCTACAACAGCGCACCAAAAGAGGAAAGTGTATATGAGTGCGCACCAAAAGTGGGAGAATATAATAAGATCTTCCCTTTCTGGGCGCCGTTTCTGCTTGTGCATCTGGGCGGGCCTCACACCATCACTGCACTGGCCATGGAGGACAACAATTTATGGCACCGCCATTTGCTCACCCAAATGGTTCAGATCTGCTCAGTGTTGGTGGTGTTGTACCAATACAAAATCTTCCAAAGCGAATGGCTGCTCCCCACGGGCATCGTCTTCTTGGTCGGAATCGTCAAGTGCGTTGAGCGTATCCTCTCTCTCCAGCTTGCGTCTTCCCGTTTCGTCAGGAAGTCCATCGGCAAGAGCCTAGATTCTGTTGCCTCTAAGGAGCTTATTAGGGCGGAGGGGAAGGATATGACGGACAACATTATGAATCAGTACGAGATTGTAAGGAAGGCTTACGAGTGCCACCAAATTTTCAAAGGCTTCATCATTGATCACTCGTTTCTCCACGACGAGTGTGGGAAGGAGAAGGACTGGTTCAAGAATCTAAATGTAGAGGATGCGTTTAAAGTGATGGAAATGGAGCTCAGCTTCATGTATGATGCCATGTTCACCAAGATGATTGCGGTCCAGCAGTGGAAGGGTATAGCTAGCTACTTCTGGTGCATATGGCGGTTTGTATGTAATGCTTTACTTGTAACCGTGGCCCTCATCTTCTTCTTCCATTCCAAACTCCATATGAAGCCTGGTGACATTGGTGTTACCTACTGCTTGGTGGGCGGTGCGGTTCTGCTGGACCAGATGGCTCTCATTCATCTCATATTTAGCCACTGGGCAATGGTTAAAATAGAAATGGAAACTGTGGATACACCAGTGGCCAGGAAGCTGAAACAAAAAAAAACTGTGGATACACCAGTGGCCAGGAAGCTGAAACAAAAAAAAACTGTGGATACACCAGTGGCCAGGAAGCTGAAACAAAAAATTATCTCACTCATTTATTATGGACACAAACTTATTACGGTAGTGAATAGTAAGAGTTGGTCAGGGGAGATTATACAGTACAGTTTGTTGAAGCACTCGTTAGCAGGACGACGGTTGAAATGTGCAGATGATTTCCTGGAACACTTTTTACTCAAGGGAGTTATTGATTCCTGTCTGCACACTCAAACCGCCAAGGTTGAAGAAAAGTTAAAGAATTTGGTTTTCGAGGACATCAAAAGAAGAGAAAAGGCTAAAGAAGCAGCTGCAGAACCAGAAAAAGAAACTTATCATCGTCAGGAGGTCATGGACAAAATAAAAAAAATCCACCTCGCTCCGAAGGTCGTCGACAGTTCTTCCGACGATGTCGTCGTCTCCGTCGACGACGACATCGAGAATTATGCCAACTTTGTGTTAACCTTGCATGTTGCTACTGAGATATGCTACTTCACCGCCGACAAAACAAAAGGTGGTGATGATGAAGCAGGCGCAAAATTATTGTGCATACAAATCTCCCAATATTTGGCGTACCTTCTAGTGCTGGAGGAGAAAATCACGTCGGCAGTGCCGGGAAGTATAGGAATGAGATTCAAAGATATTTGTAAGGACCAAATCAAGAACACCTTTGACCACCTCTGCGATACTTTCAAATCCTTCAATGCACCAGGTACATACGTACCCCCCTACCCATACCCTAGCTAGCTAAGCTATATATATATATATTGCCTCTTTAACTAATTTTTTTTTTTGTATATATTTATATGGCAAATTATATATTGTGTTGTGTGAACCATAATAAAAAATACATTTTTAATATACTAAATGTACATTATTTGTGTACTGAATATATATTATACAAAATATAATAATATATTTTTAGTACTCAAATAATAGTGTACATTCTTTGAATATATATAATATATATTTTTAATATAATAAAAGTATATTATTTTTGTACTGAATGTACATTATTTGATAGTATGGTCCACAGGTCCACACAATAATGATATATATATATATATATATATATATATATATACTAGTAAGTGTCATGTGCGATGCATAGACTATTATTAATTTAACAAATGAGCAAATTACACTTTTGGTCCTATGACTATAGGGGGTGTGTTAATTTTGCTCCATGACTTTTAAAACTAACAATTTAGTCCTTTAACTATGTTTTTTTTAGCAGATTTGGTCCTTCCGGCCAAATCATCCGTGGAAATTGGCCGGAAAAACTTAAACTTTAAAAAAAAATATTCATGAGGGCAAAATAGTCTTTTTACGTAAGCTGCTTCTTCTTCTTCGCATTCATGAGCTACGACTAACAGTTGCCTCTGCTTCCAGAGCTCCAAGAATCGAAGCCCCAGGTTCAGAAGCAAGGTATGATTTTTATCCTCAGTTTTTTCTTCACATCTGCGCATTTTGCTTAAATATATATAGAGATATAGAGATAGAGAAGAGTCTGGGTCTGATTTTTTGACCTGATCCATGTAAGATAGAGATATAATATATAATATATGTAATATTTTATAAATTAATGATATAGACATGTTATGTTGACTAATTTAATAATTATGTTCATGTTAATTTGATTTGTAATTAAAATTACATGAATTTATAAATTACAATTACAAAATAGTCTTTTTACGTAAGCTGCTTCTTCTTCTTCGCATTCATGAGCTACGACTAACAGTTGCCTCTGCTTCCAGAGCTCCAAGAATCGAAGCCCCAGGTTCAGAAGCAAGGTATGATTTTTATCCTCAGTTTTTTCTTCACATCTGCGCATTTTGCTTAAATATATATAGAGATATAGAGATAGAGAAGAGTCTGGGTCTGATTTTTTGACCTGATCCATGTAAGATAGAGATATAATATATAATATATGTAATATTTTATAAATTAATGATATAGACATGTTATGTTGACTAATTTAATAATTATGTTCATGTTAATTTGATTTGTAATTAAAATTACATGAATTTATAAATTACAATTACAAAATAGTCTTTTTACGTAAGCTGCTTCTTCTTCTTCGCATTCATGAGCTACGACTAACAGTTGCCTCTGCTTCCAGAGCTCCAAGAATCGAAGCCCCAGGTTCAGAAGCAAGGTATGATTTTTATCCTCAGTTTTTTCTTCACATCTGCGCATTTTGCTTAAATATATATAGAGATATAGAGATAGAGAAGAGTCTGGGTCTGATTTTTTGACCTGATCCATGTAAGATAGAGATATAATATATAATATATGTAATATTTTATAAATTAATGATATAGACATGTACTAAGTGGCTTGTAGTCCATTGGTATTTGGTTGGCCCCTTATGTGGGATGTCTTAGGTTCAATCCTTGGTGAAGGTGTAACATGTTATGTTGACTTATTTAATAATTATGTTCATGTTAATTTGATTTGTAATTAAAATTACATGAATTTATAAATTAATATGATCTGAATACAATAAATGCTTTCACACTTTGGAGGGAAAATTTTTCCCTAATCATTTTCATTTGCTTTATATTATAGAGATAGAATAATTTTATATACTAATACATATTATGAAAATTGAATTAAAAATAAACCGAATTAGACAAACAAAATAAGATGGAGAGAATACTAGTGAATTTTGTTAGGATGAAGTGTACATAAAAGAGACACTGGCGGGTGCGCATCACCTTGAACAAGTCCAGCATACCTTTGACCACCTCTACTATATATACCTTCCATCAATCAAGCAGGTTCAGGTTTTGGTGTTGTTGGACTTGACCCTTTAAACCCTTTAATTTATCATTGATCTTAATCCCCTCGATCTTATTAATTAATTACATGCATATATACATACATACATACAGGTATACTGTGTTGGAGGCAAATAAGTAGAAAGAAACCCTGCCAACGCCTGCTAAATGGGGATTACAGTAGCTGCAATGATAAGAAAGAATTGGAGAATAAATACAAGAAATCAGTGCTGCCTAAGGCTGTTGAAGTTGCAAGGGAAATAATGAATACAGATCCAGAAAATAATAATACTAAGCAGCAGCAGCCTCAGGAGTTTTGGAAAGGTCTGAGTGAAGTGTGGGCAGGGTTGCTGGTGTATGCCTCCAGCCATTGTAGAGAAGATGTTTACTACCTCAAAAAAGGTGGACAATTTTATACATTTGTTCGCCTTTTGATGGCTCATTATGGGCTACAAGAAATCCTCGAAGGCGAAAAACATTCATTTCCTGAACTCAGCTTCTTCCTGAATGCTAAAATTGGTAAACCAAATTAAAATGGTGTATCTGAAGTGGTTAGTATGTAATATAATGAATTAGTACGTAACAAGTCAAAATGTGATGAATTGAAGTGGTTAGTAGTGGGATTTGAAGTGCATTCATGTGTTAGGTTTATCGATTAATTTCATTTGTGTGCAGTGCATGTTTGTTAAAATTAGTGACATTGCATATTGGTCACTATAAATAGTAGATTTCATAGTTTTCATTTCATATATGTAAGATAATGCATGAGTGTATGAAAGAGTGTGTGTATTAAGAAGTTCAATTCAAAGGTTTAAGCTTTCAATTGTCTCCCTATTATATTATATTATATATTCATCCATCCCCTCTCTCTTCCAATTATATTAAGCTATAACGTATACATCAAGATATATATTACAGTACAATTATTAATATATATACATAATATATAAATAAATAAATAATAATGCTTATTATTATATTCTTCTATATCTTCTTTCTTTTGCTTTTTTACTTTTCTTTTGTTTCCCCACATCACTCCACTTTGTTCTCCACCTTGGCCCCCAGGCCACTTGGTCTTTCAGCTCTGCCCTCCATCTCCAAGTCAAAGAAGGAATGGAGAGTTTCTGAGTGATATGTGGGTGAAGTTGCTGTTGTATGCAGGCAGCCATTGCAGGGGAGATAGACGATGTTCATTATTTGAACAAAGGTGGGGAGTTTCTTACGTTTGTTCAGCTTATGATGGCCCATTATTCTGGGCTCAAACAACGCTTCAATGATGAAGCAGCAGCTGGTGGGAACCAAGTTGATGATGCTCAAATTAATCAAACTTTCTTGCAAATTTAATTTTGTCCTGTATTTATATGCATATATGCATGCTTATATTGAATCATGTATAATGGCATGTAAGGAAAATTTTTAATTTTAATTTGTTTAATTTGTGAATAATAATAGCATCTATCTACTAGTTGCTTATTGTTTTTTTTTTTTTTTTTTTTTTTTCTAAATGGATGGATGATCATCGATGTATTATTAGGTAGATACTTCAACCCCAAGTCTTTGATTTATGCCAAAAATTTGTAAGTACTTTTGATAAGTGCTTATTTGTCTATATTTTCCCTCCTTTCACTAAGCTATTTTGCATATAGATCATTTCAAATTTGATGAGATTAGGACTAAATTGTGTTATTTTGCAAGGAGTTTGCTTTGGAAAGCATGGGAAGCAAAAATGAGTAGTTTCATGCACTTTGGTGGTCATTGGAGTCAAAAGAAGCGTTTTGGATGGATTGGGAGTCCATGGGATCCAAGGAGAAGCTAAGAGGATGGAAAAAACACTTCCAAGAGCGCCTAAAAGTGGTGCTTTCAATGGTCTTGGTCATTTGGGGCAAACCAAAGCAAAAGAGAAGCAAGCGATCATGCAATTGCAATTCCCGACTTGCACATCGACATCATAGTCTTTGGACCATATCTCGAGCTAAAAATATCCAAATTACGTGATTCTTGTTCCATTGAAAAGAAGACTCAAAGGGCTACAACTCATATTCAGACATCAAGGCCTAAAAAGGAAGCCACAGTGGTCAAAGTCATCCTTGAAGTTGAAGTTCCAAACTTGCAGATTTCGCCCAAAACTGACCACTTTTTGGTAATTTGACCATATCTCGGCCTAGGAATGTCCAAATGAAGTGATTCTTGCGCCATTTGAAAGAAGACTCGAAGGGCTACAACTTTCATAAAGACATCGAAGTTCTGAAGGAAAAAGTGTCAAAACTAGCCTACAAACCGAAGTTCTGTTGCAGAGTACCACTCGACGCGTCGAGATTGGGCAGAAAGTCGCGATTTTCATACTGTAAATGTTCGACACGTCGAAACCCCCCGCCTCTCTGCTCCTTTTTAGCTGAGTTTTCACTCATTTCTACTCGGTTTTGAACCCCATTCGAACCCTAACTATTTTCTACTTTTTCATTTCATAATTTAGTGTTAGATTATGTGTAGATTTATGTTCTTTTTCATATTTCAAGCTTGTATTCAAGGATTAACACTTAGATTTCAAGTTTTACCATCAATTTCTTTAGTGAAGTGTTCTTTCCCTTATCTCTTTTCCTTTGCAATGTTTATGCTTTACACTTATGTTTTTGTGTTCTTTATGCTATTTAATCATGAGTAGTTAGTTTATGGACTTGAGTTAGGGTTGTAATCTTGATGCTTGATTTATGATTATTGCAAAAAGGGGAAGAACTCTAACCTAGGGTTCTTGAGTTTATGAAGGATTTGTGATTGTATATTGTTAATGCTTGGTGTACAACATTCATTGGCATGTTTTGGAGGATTCTTGGCATCAATGAGAGTTGGGTCAAGATTCCAAGCCACTCCTCGCATAAACCCGATTTTTCCTATGAAAATGGGAGAAATTGGGGGTTTTAGATGCTTTGTGTTCTTGAAGAACTTGGAGTTGATTATATTCACCACGAGAGTGGAGCAATTCCTTGTTCTAATCCTTGTTAATTTTCTCACGTGAGTGACTTATAGACTATGATTTCTACGTGCATCCCCTCTATTCCTTGGTTGTGTGATTTTCCCCAATCCTTAGGTTGTGTTATGCATCTAGAAGATAATGCTCTCTAGCTTGAGTCCTATTTCTTTATTTTGTGTTTACATCTTGTTCATATGTGTTCCGTGTTCGTGTTATTTTGTTTAGTTACCGTAGTCTTAACTCCGTTACGATTTGCTTAGCTTCTTGTTGGTTTCCTTATGCTAGTGCCTAGTTTATTGCGATTGCATATTGCGTGCCATAACCCCCAATCCCCTGAGGACGACATAACACACCCATACACTCACCATCACTCATTTTTGCTACACATCAACTATTCAAAAGTATACTTTGATATAGTACTACAGATCCATATTAATTTGTCTCTCTATAAAAATAGGAGAAATTGGAGCCTTTAGTTTGATACTTTGTGTGCTTGAAGTTGATACATCATAAGAGTGAGACAATTATATTCACTGTTCTAAGCATTATATTGTTTATTGATCATAAGAGTGGCTTATAGACTAGGGTTATGTGATTTAATTTTCTCCAAATCCTTAGGTTGTGCTATGCATGTAGAAGATAGTGCTTCATAGTTTGAGCCATATTTCTTTATTATGTATCTATTGTTAATATGTGTGGGTATTATTTTGTTTAGTTATTGTTGCCTTAAACTTATTGTTTGTTTAACTTTTGTTGATTTCATAGTGTTAGTGTCTAGTTATTGCATATTGCGTGCTATAATCTACAATCACTAAAGAACGACGAAACTACCTGTGTTCTCTTTATGCTACATCACCAATAATCGGTTATTCACTTGTAAAAACTGGCAACGCTTATGTGTAAAGTCACAATGTGTAAAGACAAAATGAAAAACAAAACAAATTAATATATATATATATATATATATATATATATATATATATATATATATCAACAAACGACACAGTACACTTGTTGGACGCATTTTCAAACTGAAAAAAAAGGTGAACAAGACTTTAAGGTGACCTGTCGAATTCAATATTTGATAAAAGAATAAGAAATTTAATTTAATGATCCACTCGTGAAACTCATGCATGGTGGGGAATATAATAAAAGAGAATAAAGCTAAGTACAAGCATTATTGTATTGTTTAAGGTAAGCTAAGTATTTTGGGATATTTTGTGTTTGAATTAAGGAATACTGTGACAGACATTTAGCTTGAGTAGCTTGTTATCTATATTCTCTTCTATGCTTATAAATAAAAAATTACTTTCCAGGATAACAAATAACAAAACACGCACACAAGGATAAGCTACAAAAGCCAGCAGGTATATTTAATCACTTATTTAATTATTAGCAGCAATATAATATAGTTCTATATATATAGAAATGATATATATATAATTGTAGAATTCATATTCATATTAATATTAATGAAGTAAGAATTATAGAAATGATATATTACTAAATATAACTATGATAACATTTAATTAAAACCCAAATAAAATCAAACTTACCAAGTGAAGAATGTAAGAAAAAGATATTGTATATGCATGTGCATAGTAATAATAATATGAAAGATAATAGAAGTTATAAGGACAGAGATATTTTTGTCCAAAAAATTATGTAGTACAAAATTTATAGTATAAGGTACAAAAAAAATGGACATAAAATCAGGGGGATATTAAAACTTATTATGTTTTTATATAGTATAGATTTAGATATACTAGTGTGGGGAGCGATGATGAGGCCTGCATTTATAAAGGACGTATTGGTAAAATGGAACATCCAATTCTACGTGATGGCTAGCCTTGTGTTCCAAATGATACTAGTTTTCCTTGCGCCGATGAGAAGATGGGTAAACAACGGATTCATGTATCTGGTGATCTGGGCTGTGTATTTACTGGCAAGCTTCTTTTCCACCTTCGCCTTATCCCTCATCTACAACGACGCACCAGATGAGGTGAGTGAATCTAACATCTTCCCTTTCTGGGCGCCGTTTCTTCTTGTCCACCTGGGCGGGCCTCACACCATCACTGCACTGGCCATGGAGGACAACAATTTATGGCACCGCCATTTGCTCACCCAAGTCGTTCAGATCTGCTCAGTTTCGGTCGTCTTCTACCAATACAAAATCTTCCAAAGCGAATGGCTGCTCCCCACGGCCATCGTCTTCGTCATCGGAATCGTCAAGTGCGTTGAGCGCATCATCTCTCTCCAGCTCGCGTCTTTCAATTTCGTCAGGAAGTCCATCCGGCGCCAAGATTCTAAGAAGCCTCCTCCTCCTCCTCCTGCTGCGGGGGTACTTGACGACTACGAGACTGTAACGTGGGGTTACGAGTTCTACCAAACATTCAAAGGCTTCATCATTGATCACACGTTTACCCAGGACGAATGTGGGAGGGAGAAGGAGTGGTTCAGCAAGCTAAGTGTAGAGAATGCGTTTAAAGTGATGGAAACGGAGCTCAACTTCATGTATCAGGCCATGTTCACCAAGATGATTGCGGTCCAGTACTGGGATAATAACTATTTCTGGTGCTTATGGCGGTTTGTGTGTGATGGTTTACTTATAACCGTGGCGGTCATCTTCTTCTGCCATTCCAAACACAATCTTAAGCCTACTGACATTGGTATCACCTACTGCTTGCTGGGGGGTCAGGTTGTGCTGGACGAGATAGCTCTCCTTCATCTCATATTTAGCCACTGGACAATCGTTAAAATAATGAATACTAAGGAGGTGGTGAGAAACAAAATTCTCCCACTCATTAATGTTGGACTGAAAGTTGTTACGGTGGATAAGTGTTGGTCAGAGAAGATTATACAGTACAGTTTGGTGAAGCACTCGTTAGCAGGACGGTTGAAATGTGCAGAGCCCAAACTGGAATTCTATTCACTCAAGGATGTTATTGATTCCTGTGTGTTCACTAAAACCGCCAAGGTTGGACGCAGGTTAAAGGAGTTGGTTGTGGAGGACATCAAAAGGAAGGCAGAAGCAGAAACAAACAACAACAACAACAACTCCCAGGATGTCGGGAATCAGACGATCATGGACATAATGCGCCGCCATACTTCCGAATTTGCCACGTGTGTGTTAATCTTGCATGTTGCTACTGAGATATGCTACTTCACCGCCGCCACTGAGGAAAGCCAAAGTGATGATGCAAAATCGTGCATGGAAATCTCCCAATATTTGGCGCACCTTCTGGTGTTGGAGGGGAAAATCACGGCCGCACTTCCGGGAAGTATAGGAATGAGATTCAAAGATATTTGTTGGGAACATGTCCGGGACACCTTTGACCAGCTCTACGATACCTTCCATCAACCAGATTCAGGTTTTCGTGTACCCTTTTCGATCTTATTAATTAATAATTACATGCATATATACATACATTGATACATACATACATACATACAGGTATACCATGTTGGAAGCGAACACGTAGACAGATAGCCTGCGAAGACCTGCTAAATGGCAAGTACATTAGATGCAATGAAGAAGAATTGGAGAATAATAATCATAAAAAATATGAGAAATCAGTGTTGCCTGAGGCTGTTGAACTTGCAAGCGCAATAATGAGTAGACAATATGCAGATCCAGAACCTGGCAATAATACGCAGCAGCAACGTCAGGAGTTTTGGAAAGTTCTGAGTGAAGTGTGGGTAGAGTTGCTGGTCTATGCCTCCGCCCATTGTAGAGGAGATATTTACTACCTCAACAAAGGTGGACAGTTTTATACATTTGTTCGCCTTTTGATGGCTCATTTTGGGCTAGAAAAAAGTCTCAAAGCGGATCGTCCATTTTAACTCCACAATCAGATTCATTCTTAATATACTTCTGTATATATGTATAATAAGGGTGGCCGGGTGGGTGATCATATCCAATTATGGTACGGTCAAATCAAAGTTATATTTTTAAAGTTTAATTTATTTTAGGGTCTTAGGGTGTACATGAAGATCAAAGTGATGAGTGCTCATCCTAATCAAATTAAGGGTTGGTATAATTTGTTAAACAGATACTATAGAAAGGTTAGAGTATACTCAAATTAAAACATATAAAATAGTTTATGAATAATGAAATAGTTTTCTCTTTATGTTTGGATGGAGTTGCTGCGTTCTTTATACAGATAGCCATTGCAGAGGAGATGTTCAATAATAATACTTTAGTAGAGGGGAAGAGTTTATTACCTTATTAATACTATATTTATTCTCACTTTTTACTCCCTGAGATGTCATATTCTGATTGATCTAAAAATATAGTGGATCACTGATCTAAAATCAAACTTGTTACAATGTAATATGTTTCAAGAATCTAGCATATCTTGACATACAAGTTCCATTCTCAAGTCATTAATTGTATGTGTAACCTTTTGAGACAACTCTTGTTATTTACTACTTCTATTAAGACTTTGAAATGGAACTCAACTTCATGTATCAGGCCATGTTCACCCAGATGATTGCGCTCCAATACTGGGAGAATAACTACTACTTCTGGTGCATATGGCGGTTTCTGCGTCATGCTTTACTTGTAACCGTGGCAGTCATCTTCTTCTACCATTCCAAACACCATCTTCCGCCTACAATAATACTAGCAACAATAGTGAATGTTTTTAATTAAAAAAAGACTTAAATGTGGACTGCTATCTATAAATCTAAGACAAAAAATAGAGTTAACTCAAGAATAAGCAAAATACAATTAAGTAATAAATATAATCATTGCCAAAAAAAAAAAAAAGAAAAAAAAAAAGAAGGAAAATAAAGCTTCTTTATTGAAATGAATGATTGAATCTTGAGATTCAAGTGTAATCATTCAATATACAAGCTTCAAAGATGAATAAGCTAAGTACCTAAATTTACACCTAATCTAACTTAAAAAATATGAAATGAAGTAAAAGAAATCAACTAAGGTTCATCCAGGGTCAGAGCCGAGTTGGAAATGCTAAAAATAAACTTAAATATGAACAGAGCGTGGTAGGCACGACCTTGCCTAAATAGGTCCAAAAATGCATTGCACACTGCCTCGGATTGGCACGTCCATAAGAATGGACGTCAATAGTTATGCTGTGCAACCGAATGTACCATGCGCATGGTGCATACGGTTCAAAACGACGTCGTTTTGATTAAAAACGCGCGTCCCACTTTAAAAAAAAAAAATCAGGTTCGACTCTCAGCAATAGCATTATTGTGGATATATAGTTATGAAATTGTGGATATATAGTTATGAAATTGTGGTTATATAGTTATGAATTTATGGATATTTAGTTCATTCATTGTGGATATTTAGTTCAATCATATATTGTGGATATTTAGTTCATTCATTGTGGATTTTTACTTCATTCATTCATTCATTGTGGATTTTTACTTCATTCATTCACTGTGGATATATAGTTATGAAATTGTGGATATATAGTTATGAAATTGTGGTTATATAGTTATGAATTTCTGGATATATAAAAATGCTATTGCCAGAAATCGAACCTGATTTCTTCTTTAAGTGGAACGCGCGTTTTTTTAACCAAAACGGCGCCGTTTTACAACCGTATGCACCTTGCAAGGTGCATTCGGTTGCACAGCATAATTTGCGAATGGACGTGCCCTCGGCCGTGCCTACCTGCAAGTAGAATTTTTATGCAACTGCTTTGAATTCTAGGCAAAAATAAAGTTATTTTATTTCTACAAGGTTTTAGCCCAAAAATCATGTTATTCCTTGAAGTCTACCCAATTTTATTTATTTTTTGCTAAGCCCAGATAGAGATACATATGAGCATATGTTGTAAATAATCTTGACCCAAGTATCTAAATCCATTTATTAAGCCCAAGGAGTATACTTCGTTTTTGTTCTTGGACCCAAAACAATTGACCCAACTCAAAAAACTGTAGCCATTATCCATATAATAAAGTAATCCTACCTAATTATAATATATATTATATCTAAATCTAATTTAAATAAAAACATAATAAGTGTGAATGAAAGTTATATTCCTCATTTATGTCTGGCTTTTTTGTTAAGTTTTTTATACATTATGCTATAAGAGTTGTACTTTAAAATATTTTGAACAAACATACCTCTACCGTTATAACTTCCGTTATCTTTTCCACTATTGTTACCATGCACTTGCATCCACCATATATTTTCTTATCTTCTTCATTAATAATAATATATAAACATTATATAGTTGAGTTATATGTTCATTATTACTTAAAATATAAATATCAAATTTATAAAAATGTTTTACATTATTAATTATTATTTATAATAATTTAAAATTTAAATATCTAAAATCTGAATACATTTAAAATTTTAATATAATGTACTAGGTTGCAAGCATCTAGAACTTATTGTTGAGTATGTTTAAGTGTTGTTTGAAGTGATTAAGATTACTTGATCTAAGTACAGTGAACGTGACAAATGTTTTCCAAAAGTATATTCTATAGTACTTTACAGGGTTGAGTGGCGTTATACTTAGCTTCGTGCTAACCGATTGTTTTTCTACTTGTTTGTTTGTTAACCCCTTTCAGATGGACCCAGTTCTTGAGCGCGATCGAATTAGACTAGCTTAGCTTAGAGAGCGAGTTGTAGTCTAAGCTCTTTATTAGTTTTTTGTTAAGATTTTGGAAGCTAGTTTTTGTTAGCTGTTTTTTATGGTCTCGGACACCGGGGAGTACCCCCAAGTTTGTTTGGAGTTGTTTAAGCTTGACTTTAATTAGAACTTTTCCTTGCCTGTGCAATCACCGTGTGTGGTGATTGTGGCGGTGACACCTCTTGTAGTTTGACTGTTAAGCTTTTAATGCTATCTAGCTTAATACTGTTTAATTTCCCTTTTAAGTTAAGTCTTGTAATTAAGGTTTAAGAAAAGTGGGGTGTTACACCACTGTTTGGCTCACTTGTAAGTATTTTAGCCATCTCCTTAGCTTCTCCTTGGTTCCCTTGACTTCAAATGCATCCAAAATGATCCAAAATTGTTCATTTCTACTCGAATTGGATGATGAATTGTGCCTAATAATTGATTAAATGAATAAAATAAGGATAATTTTTAACACCATTGTGGCACTTCGTAAGTAAAATAAAGCTAAATATGAGTTCAATGTTGCAAAAATTGCGCCTAGGTGCTAGGTGGTGGCCGCCCGCCTAGAATTTTGACAGAATTGCCGTTCTAGGCGGCTTAGGCGCTAACTAGGTCGCGACAGCCGTCTGACATTTAGGCTGTCGATTAGCTATTTTTTCGTGCTTTTTATATGGTTATTTTGCGCAAAGTGACGCTGTTTTTAGTGAAATAACACTAAATTGTTCAAATCAGTAGCAAATCCAAAAAATGTACTAAAAAAAATTCAAAATAGGTACTCTAATATTGATGATTTGTAAGTTGTGACTTTGTGTTGTGTTTTGATTCTATAAATCTTTATACAATTTACAATTTTAGATTTTTTAGGTTAATATTTAATATTTTAGTACGTACTAACAATTAAAATATTAAATAGTTTAATCACTGTTGGAAATTATTGAATTTCCGACCACCTGAAAGTGATCTTAAATCAAGTCGAAAGTAAAAAGCAGGGCCGTCCCTGGGCATGTCTGCCCAGGGCCGGCGCACAGGGCCCCCAAATTTTGGGGGCCCCTTAATTTAAAAAAAAAAAAATTACGTATATATATTACCGATTCACAAATTCAGCGTGAAGTTTCAAACAAAGCCAAGCGGTGTAGCCGATAAACGCAAACGGCAAACATATTACCCTAGTGGCCTAGTCCCTAATTAGCGCATGAATTACGAATTACAATGATGTAGCAAAAATAAGATGTGAGCTCGGGTGTTATATCGTCCTTAGGGGATTGGGGGATATGGCACGCAATATACAATCACAATAAACTAGGCACTAGCATAAGGAAATCAACAAGAAGCTAAGCAAACTACAAGTTTAAGGAAATGATAAGACTAACACATATACACAAAGATAAACACAAAATAAAGAAATAGGACTCAAGCTAGGGAGCATTATCATCTAGATGCATAGCACAACCTAAGGATTGGGGAAAATCACACAACCAAGGAATAGAGGGGATGCACGTAGGAATCCTAGTCTATAAGTCACTCACGTGAGCAAATTAGCTAGGATTAGAACAAGGAATTGCCCCACTCTCGTGGTGAATCAACTCCAAGTTCTTCAAGAACACAAAGCATCTAAAACCCCCAATTTCTTCCATTTTCATAGGAAAAATCGGGTTTATGCAAGGAGTGGCTTGAAATCTTGACCCAACTCTCATTGAGGCCAATAATCCTCCAACACATGTCAATGAATGTTGTACACCAAGCATTAACAAAATATAAACACAAATCCTTCATAAACTCAAAAACCCTAGGTAGGCAAAATCCCCTTTATGCAATAATCACAAATCAAGCATCAAGATATATAATACAACCCTAACTCAAGTCCATAAACTAACTACTCATGATTCAATAGCATAAAGAACACAAAAACATAAATGTAAAGCATAAACATTGCAAGATAAAGAGATAAAAGGGAGAAGAAAACTTCACTAAGACATGGATGGTAAATCTTGGAATCCAAGTGTTGATTCCTTGAATACAAGCTTGAAATATGATAAAGAACCTAAATCTACACCTAATCTAACACTAAAATATGAAAAGAAAGAGTAGAAAATAGTTAGGGTTCGAATGGGGTTCAAAACCGAGTAAAAATGAGTGAAAACTTAGCTAAAATAGAGCAGAGATGGGGGGCTCGACGCGTCGAGAGTAATTCTTGACGCGTCGAGCATTTACAGATTGCAAAACGCGATCTCACTGCCCAGATTCGACGCGAAAATTCTCGACGCGTCGAGTGCTTCTCTGCAACGCAACTCCGACTTGTAGGCTGATTTTGACCACTTTATGCTCAGAATTAGGCTTCGATGTCTTCATGAAAGTTGTAGCTCTTCGAGTCTTCTTTCCATTGGAGCAAAAATCACTGCATTTGGACATTTCTAGGCCGAGATATGATCAAATTACCAAACAGTGGTCAGTTTCGGGTGAAATCTGTAAGTTCGGAACTTCAACTTCAAGGATGATTTTGACCACTGTGGCTTCCTTTTTAGGCTTTGATGTCTGAATATAAGTTGTAGCCCTTTGAGTCTTCTTTGCAATGGGACAAGAATCATGTAATTTGGATGTTTTTAGCTTGATATATGATCCAAAAACCATGACGTCGACGTGCAGGTCGGGAATTGCAATTGCATGGTCGCTTGCTTCTCTTTTGCTTTGGTTTGCCCACATGACCAAGACCATTGAAAGAACCACCCTAGACTCCTTTGGAAGTGTTGCATCCATCTCCATAGCTTCATATTTGGCTCTCATTGACTCCAAATTCATCCAAAATACCTCAAAAGCACACAATTGCCTGCAACTCTACAATTTATGCATCAAAAGATATAAACAAAGGAATTAAGGCACTTCTTTGCATAAAATCAAAGTGTTTGTCACTCAAAATATGTCTATACAAGGGGTAAAAATATGGACATAAATGCACTTATCATACAACAAAGATGGAAATTAGGGAAGTCGTGTGGAATTGATGACTCATGAGAACTACAGAGTCTACAACAAATTAGGTATTTGTCTATTTTAACTAATTCAAATAATTAATTTGAGTTTTTTTTTGAAAGATTTAATTTGAATTTTTAATTTGAGTATTTGAGTATACAAGTAGTGTTGTTTACGAGTTACTGATTATGCAAAATTACAAATCAAATTTGTCAATTTGGGAATTTTTAATTCAGTCAATAAAAAGTTATCAAAGATGACAATTTGCAAGCATCAGACAATTTAGTTTTATTTTTTGTTCAAGCAGTGCAATTTAGTGAATTGACGCAAAAACGACAGATTTAACTCGTCTGCTACTGATTCTTCAATTCTTTTTTTTTTTTTTTTTATATCATACAAACTCTAAAGTTCTTCAATCCTATTGACACGTAATTAAAATTACGTATTGTTTCACAATTTTTGTTTATTGTGTTATTATCATGACTTCATAATTCTGCTTTTAGAATAATATATATTCAAGATTTTGTTTCTTGATTAATAATTTATTCATAGAGTTTTTAAATAAATTTTTATTTTGGTTCTTAGGATTTTATGTATTCTAGAAAATATTCATCTGGGTTTGAGAAGCGTAAAAAGAAATGAAAGATTGAGCAACTAACTCAATCTCAAAAGGGAGCTCTTGAAAAATTCAATACAACAAAAAACTCAAATAGATGAGCAAAAAGATAATGACAACGAAAAATTGTTAGAACTCTTCTATTTTAATTGGATATGTTGATATATCCACACATCTTAAAATCAAAGACATTTGTTCTTGGTGACTGACATCAGGAGTACAATCTAATATCACTGAAAAATATTTTGCATCTTTGATTTTTTTGATGACTTTTGTTTTAACTGTAGTAGCAATCATAAGTATCAATTTGTTTTGAATCTTATGACCAAGATAATAATGGTGAATATCACAATTTCTAGCACGTAAAACATGCTCTTGAATGATAGTTTCAAACTCAGCCAGCATTTCAATTAGGGGTGTTCAATCGGTTAACCGAACTGAATTAACCGAAGTTTTTTTTTCTTTAACCGTTAACCGAACCGAAGTTTGCTCTACCGAATTCACCGAACCGAAATTTTTTTCGGTTAATCGGTCGGTTAACCGATTAACCGAACTTTTAAAGCTAAAATTTAAAATTCTAAAAATAACACCTAAAATAATAAATTCAATTAAAATAAAATAAATATCATAATAAATTCATAACAAAATATAAAAAACATGAATTATAAATTCCAAACATCCATAACTTCAAATTAATATTTATATTTATATTATTATTTATATATATATTAAAAACTTCGGTTAACCGACCTTTCGAACCGAATTAACCGTTAACCGAAGTTTTAAAATTCCTTTAACCATTAACCGAACCGAAAAAGTTCGGTTCGAAAACGGTTAACCGAACTTTGTCGGTTCGGTCGGTTAACCGAAAATTATCCAAAGTTTGCACACCCCTAATTTCAATTAGACCCAAAAAAATGAGATTAGGATGTACACATTTCAAGAGAGACTCGATGGATTAGCTTTAATCTCTATTGAAAATGAGATTTTAGAAGAAGTTCATATAAAAAAATTTGGTGGATGATTTTCGTCTAAGTGTGCACGGCACATGTTACTTTTAAATGAAATTTTAGATGTATTTTTTTATACAATATTTATATTATGAATTTTTGACACAACTTTTTGAACAACTATTATTTATATATAAAAATTACTTAAAAAGGGGCCCAAATTAAAATATTGCACAGGACCCCAATTTTGATTGGAACGGCCCTGGTAAAAAGTGATCGGAAATAGCAACAAAGATTTTTCAGGATACCAAAAATGGTCGGAACAAGGCTTTCAACTTGATTTAAGATCACTTTCAGGTGGTCAAAAATTTCATAATTTTTAGTAGTATATAATTACCAAATTTTAAATAAATTTTTTTAAAATCTTTTAAATTATAAAAGAAAAAAACAAACAAAAAAAAAACACATAAACACCTAAGTGCTGATTATAATTGGTATAAGTACGAATAATTATGCACTTATCATTCCGTAACCGTCACTGCCGCATGCAACATGGTGTGCTTGTAATCTCACATACAGATGTGATTTGGAAAGAATAAAGTAAGAAAACAAAGGGCTCCATGGGGGAGAGAAAGAGAAAGCAATGAATCTGATGAGATATTAAATAAGATTGAGAATAAAGTGTATATGTGGAAAGCAATTAAATAGTCTTTGGGAAGATGATAATAATAAAGAAAGATATAAGAGTGAATAATACAAAATGTGTGGGGAAAAGGGTCTTGGGAAGATAATAAAGAAGGATAAGAGTGATTAAAAAATATGTGGAGACAATTAGTCTTAGAAGATAATAAAAAATGAGAGAGAATAAAAATGTTAATATGGGAAAATAGTAATATTATATATATATATATATATATATATATATATATATATATATATATATATATGCATAGCGTTGTTACTTTTAGTAGGACGCATAAAATGTTTCAAATATATTAATATACGATCGCCTTTATTTTTTTATTATGCGTCTTTGCTTGTAACTAAAGATGCCTATTGTTGCCTTTATTGGTCAATTATATTCTCTACTAGTGGTCCATTATATTGTTCATTTGTTTCAATGTGTAAAAGAATTGGAAGTTTATTCAACTGTGTACCAATCAAGAGGCACATGGTGAGTATCACGCGTCTTGAGTTTTTATGGTATTGGGATTTAAATTACTTTTCAGAAAATATATTATTGTCGAATTTTTTTGAAAAAAAATTTCAACACTATCTACAACCCCTTTATTTTATGTCAAGACTATAGGTCTATGAACATCCTTCAATGGGTTTAAACTAGCTAGATTATTTTTGCTAATATTATTGTTGCCGTTTAACCCAAATTTAATATAGATCTGTATTGTATTAAAAATGCATAAACTAATATGCAATAACTTTTTGCGTTGCAAGTTGTTCTAATTTAGGCTGATGGTAAAAAAGAAAGTATTAGATGCAAAGTAGATTAAAATTTTATAATGTGACATGTTATAAATTAATTAAAAAGGTCCTTTTAAATCAACTAATAATACTACAATAAATAAGTCTTTGACAAAAGAATATAAAATTTTAATAATCCACTCTTGAAACTCATGCATAGTGGGAATAGAAGAGAGTACCGTATATGCATTGTATTGTTTAAGGTAAGCTAAGAATTTTGGAATAATATTTTGTGTTTGAAATTTGAATTAAGGAATACTGTCAGCGACAGTTAGCTTGCTGTCTATATTATATATATATATATATATATATATATATATATATATATATATATATATAGACTAACAATCATATAAGAACCAATGCTTAGGTAGGAACCTAGGAACTCATCATAACCATTTATTTAGAGTGATCAATGGTTTATATTAAAACATATTTTATGAGATTTTAGGACTGATTTTTATTTATTTTAGATAATTGCAGGGTATTTAGGGCATTTTAGTGCATAGTGTTTTTGTGAATTAAGGAAATTGCGAGATCCTCTCATCTGTTTCCCCACTTCCTCGGCATCTAGGTAGGAATACATTGGGAGATCTTCTTCCCCGTTTCATGGCGCCGGCGGGCTAGAAACCTCACAATGAATTCTCTGCAAAACAGTCAATGACTAAAATCATCCAAGGAATCTACAAAAAGGGATTATATTCAATTAGAAGCCGACGAAAAAGGGATGCTAGGACGCTAACATCTGCTCAATTAAATTTTGTATAGGTTGAAGAGATTAAAGGGGTTTGCATTCTAGCATTAAGGCCTTCCTCTGCCATTGCCATATTTGAAAAAATTAAAGAGGACGCAAACGATGCAAATTTCTCGAGATTGAAGAAGCCGACAAAGGAGTTTTCTAGGTTTGTTTTGTTTATTTATTTATTTATTTATTTCAAGAGTATTAATACAATAAGATTTGGTTGTGTGCATATTAGTTGGAATGTGTTTGCATTTTTAGGCTGGTTGGTATTCGGGTGTGCAGTTACGAACATTTGTGGGTGCATATATTCTTTTTTTTTTTTTTTTTGGTGTTCTTTTGGCCAGTTTGAAGTGTTTTTAGTATGATCTGCTGTGTGCATTGAAGTTGGGTTGTGTGTGCATATATTCTTTGTGGTGGTGTGTGGGGTTACAGTTGGCAGTGTTGACTAGTATACTTTGTTGTGTACATTTTAGGTTGGCTAGTATTGGCATGTGCAATTGCACACATTTGTGTGTGCATATATATATATATATATATATATATATATATATATATATATATATATATATATATATTCACTATTTTGTTGTCCATATATTCACATTTGTGTGTGCATATATCCTTTGTTTTCTTCTATATTGTGTATTTATTGCACCCCAATATTCTGTGCAGGTAAGGAGTCTCGAGTTGTTCGTGAACACCAAGTAGAATCGCAAGTGAACGTTGAGGATGACGATCTACAAACAATAAAATAGTACCAAGGAGAGAGGAGAATGGATTTTTTTTTTCTTTTTTTTTTTCCAAAAAAAAAAAAATAATTGTATAAGCGTAAGAGTTTGGTCACCACCTTAAATCATGAAATGCAACTGAAAAATGAGGATGTTAATTGTGGGTCTGGGATGCTTGGCATGTGGTTCGTGGAGCTTTAGTGGTTAGTGGTTGAAGTAGATTTAAATTTTCAATTAACATTGATTTTAATTGCAATTCATTTACTGTGTTGTCGTGTTGATGATATTGGGTTGTTAAAATTGATTTTGATTGTAATCCATTTTAACCAACCATCACTGTTTGCTTAACGCTCACATGCACATTCCATTGTGCTAATATGCACACGGTGTCCTTATCTCAACCCAAGTGCACACCAATTTGTTTTATGTCTTTTCATCCACACACTCATTATTTACGTAATGACACACACAGTTTAACCTATGTGCACAACATAGTCTTTACCCATGTGCACAACATAGTCTTTAACATCAATCTGGTTTTGGTGCATGCACGCGTTCATTAAACTAAGTGCAAACGAAATTTCATATACTTGTGGATGCACACATTCGTTAACCTAAGTGCATACGGTATTTCGTATATCAATTTTTTTGAGTAACATGGCACAAACTCGTTAACCTAAGTGCACACGCAGCACAATCTAAGTACACACACAATTATATTAGAGTGCACACGCAGCACAATCTAAGTGCACACCAAAATGTTTAACATCTTTTCATACACAAACTAATTCTGCAAATTATAGCACACACAATGTAACCCAAGTGCACACAGTTCAGCCCATGTGCACACCCTATTCTATCAACCCAAGTGGGCACCAACTTGTTTTACGTATTTTCACCGACACACTCATTATTTACATTATGGCACACACAGTTTAACCCAAGTGCACAACATAGTCTTTAACATCAATATGATTTTTGTGATTTCATTCTTTCAGTATTTCTGCACATTATGGCACACACAGCATAATCCAAGTGCACACCAATATATATGTAATGTTACGTTAGAATAATGAAACAATTGATATAATTAATATTAGAAGACATGTAAGATTTAAAACTTCTTGTTTAAATACAAACGCGTAAACAAATCCTAATTAAATCCAAACTCATAATCAATCCTAATTAAATCCAAACTCATAATCAATCCTTCTTCATGTTGCCACCTAAAATCAAGGAAAATATCCAAATTAAATATTTCCTTTTAAGTGGATGATGAATAAAATGACACCATTATCCCTTGTAATTAATTATGGTTAATTTGCTAATTAAATTGTAAATTGATCTTGATCATTGATTTCCAATTTTTGGATGGCTTAGATTGGTTCCTAAGTTCCTACCTAAGGATGGGTTCCTACTTGAATCCTCCCCTATATATATATATATATATATATATATATATATATATATATATATATATATATATATATATATATATATATATATATATATATATATATATATATATATATATATATATATATATATAGGCGGGTTCAGGTGCGGCAGTGTCTTACGGTGCGGTTATTTCTTACGGTGCGGCAACACCAATAGTTCAACAAATATGCACCATCAACGTTAGGAAAATACACCACACAAAACAGAGTAAACAGAGCCCTGCATCACCAAACACACACCATTAGGTGTGAGTAAAAACACCATACACTGTTCGGAAATACACCATTGGGGGTGGTGAGTTATATGGTGTATTTTTTTGAGTCTGTTGTGTATTTTGTGATGTTTTATTGCATTTCATTATGGTGTGTTTTTATTACACTGTTGGTGCATATTGTTAACACTGTTGGTGTATTCTGGAATTTGACCGCACCGCCGCACGGTAAGACCCGCCGCATATGAGCGTTCTTCTATATATATATATATATATATATATATATATATATATATATATATATATATATATATTACTATCCATGACAACTAAAAACAAATACACGTACACAAGGATAAGCTAATTAAGGGCAACCCACAAAAGACAGGTTTGCCAGCAGGTAAGTTTACTCACTCATTTAATTATTAGCAGCAATACAGTATGATATAGTATATGTACTTTTGATGCTATCTAGTTAGTCTTCGTTGAGTTAGGATAACATTAACAAATACGAGGTGCCGAGGTGGAATATACTTCATTTCAAATGACATAAAAAATTAAAGAAAATATATTAAGTTGAAATTAGAAATAGTATCCTCGTCAGAATCGAAGAACTAACCTCATATATTCATTTAGGATAGATGTTCAAAGGTTGAAAATTAAGAAAAAAAATATGGTCACATTTTTATAATTACGAAAATGTGCTTGGAAACACTTGATAGCAATGTATTTGCAGATAACTAACAGTGCTCTCAAGATTTATATTTCTGTAATTAAAAAAATGTTACTACAATTTTTTGTCTTTTTTTTTTTTCTTCAGTAATTGACCATTCTAAATAGACGGATAAGATTAGTCAGTAGATTCAGCCATTGACCATTCTAAATGACGTTATATTAATATACTTATAAATAATGAAATATATATATATATATATATATATATATATATATATATATATATATATATATAATAGATAATAGAGAATATATAAATGAGTTAATTTAATTTTTGTCCTATATTTATAGGTGACCGTTCACTTTTAGTTTTTATTTATTTATTATAATATCTTCATTTGGTCCTAGTATTATTGTGTCACGGTCATTTTTAGTCCTCCGTCAACAAAATCGTTAAAATGTTGATAAATACAAAGACATATTGATCTTTATATATATATATATATATATATATATATATATATATATATATATATATATATATATATATATATATATATAAAGTAAGTTGACCAGCAATATTTTTATGTTAATTTTTTAAAAAAGCATAATTGAAGACTGAAATTCCTTGATACTTAACAGTATTTAAACAGTTTTGTTGATAAATGATAAAAAATAGTTATGCTACAATAATATTAGGATCTAAAGTAGATATTTTAATTAAAGAAAAAAGATTTAAAGTGAACTGTCACCTATAAATCTAGACCAAAAAATGAAAAAAAAAATAATAATAATAAAATGAAGTAAAATCATCCCACAAGCTAAGTAAAATATTGCTAAATGATAAATTTAATCTATTGATGTTTTTGTAAATTGAGAATATATAACTTTGATTTATAAAAAAAATATATAATTATATAATTGATACTTGAATGTGTGATCCTGGTGAAACTCTTTGGATGACACCCTAGTTTTGTTAGATATACAATAGTCTAACTATAATGAATAACAGTATACGAGAAACCTGACCTCGTATGATAGCGGAAGCGTAGCCATGTAGATCTCCAGCCATAGTTGATGTTCCTGTAGTATTGCCTCTTAACGGTAGACCGTTAGCCATGTTTTGCCTCAGACCTGACTCAGAACCCTAGATGGTGTATTGGTATCTACTGAGCGGTCTGAGTACCGTAACTGAATGTGCTATCTAATCCATAATCCTGTATCCCATCAATCCAGGTTATATTAGGCACAGA